TGAGGTGAAAGCTTTCAGAGGACTGTTAGGTCAACTACAGTGGTATGCACGGATCATGGGCTATGCAATTGGCTTTCAGGTGAGCAAACTGGCTAGTGAAATCAAGAATTTGAAGATTTCCAGTTTGAAGGAAGCAGCCAAGCTTGTTCGTGAGGTGAAGCAATACCACAAGGATGAGGAGTTGATTTACAGACCAGGAATGTCATGGCAACCGGATGACATCTCAGTGGTTGCAGTTCACGATGCTTCATTCAACAATCTACCGGGACACAAAAGCCAGAAGGGATACTGGTTGGGCATTTCCACACCGCAGATCATGAAGGATCGGACTTCAGTGCATCATGTTCATTTTGTGCATTGGACATCTTCGAAGATCCAACGCGTGGTGCGGTCTACATTGAGTGCTGAAGCATATTCCTGTTCGGAAGCTTTGGACGCCCTCAGTTGGCTTTGTGCTACAGTTCTGGAGATTTTGCATGGTGATTTGGACATGAAGCAATACAAAGAGCATCTACACAAGATCCCTGGAGTGACGGTCACAGATTGCAGATCCCTATATGATTGCATGAAGTCGGAACGAGTGCTTCTCTCAGACAGAAGGTTGTCGCTCGAAGCAGCCATCATCCGGCAGAGTTTGCAAGAAGGGATAGAATGCAAGTGGGTCCCATCAGAGCAGCAGTTGGCCGATGCTTTGACAAAAGCCTTACATCGGAAGGGATTGGCATACCTGAACGATGTGCTATTTTCCAACAAATGGACTCTTGGACCAGATCCACGTCTTCCAGAGACCTCAAGAAGCCGAAAGCTTGAAAGCCCAGATGAAAAGCCCAAGCCGGAGAAGATCCAAGATCATGAAGAAGCAACAGCAATCAACAAGTTGCCCATTGAGCTCGATGATGATGAGATCATTGGCAGCCCCAACACAACAGCCTCAGCATCCACGACATCCCCAGGCAGTGGTGTGAACACGAAAGCAGTACTGATGTTATCATTTGCGCAGCAGTTCCTTCCAGTCAATGCAGAGCAAGACGTAAGGACGATTTTGCACTCATGGTCATGGGAGTTGAGTTTTGCGTGCTTGATCATTGTACTGACAGCAGCCCTTTGGTACAACACAGTTGAGTTCACAAAGCTGTTTGGATGGTATGAGGACCTGGCATTGTACAAACAAGGCGCTCTTGTTGCAACAGTGACAATGCTGACGGTGGCAATCGGGATGAAGACAACAGTTTCACAGAATTCAGAATTTCTTACAGTGTTGTTGGGAGCAATGTTGATCATGATGGTGATGATTGTGAAGAGAATTGATGAAAAGACAACGACTACAAACCTCATCTTGGGAACCGAGAGAAGAAAGACCCAAGAGCTGATCCATGCTGGACTTTCACAGATGTTTTCTGAGAACAACATCATGTTGACCAACATGGACGGATTGAGGCATGCAGTCAATGAAGACTTCAAGAAACTCTCCAATTTCGTCAATGACAGCAATCGCTTTACATATCAGAAAATGGACGATATATCAGAAGAACACAATTTCAGAATCGCAAAAGTCATTGACCGATTGATCAGGATCGAGTACAAACAGGAACGGCAGGAAGTAAGAGCACTTGATCTGGAGAAGAGACTGAAGCAGAAGAAAAGGAGGAGAACACCATCGATGAGCTCGGAGGCAAAACGAGACATCCTACAGAAAAGACAGGATCGCCGTGAAGCACCAGGAACCCCGACAGAGTCCGAGGTGATGAGTTTGCTGGAATCGCCTACACCACAGGAGTTGTTTCCAGATCCGGCAGGAGATGGTCGGATTGCACCCTTTGAAGAAAGAGATGAGAATGATGAAGAGTATGAAGGTGCGAAGGATGACAAAGAGTCAATGAAGGCGACTGGCATGAGTCAAGAACGCTGGGACTTGATGACAACAAAGGAGAGAACATACTTTCTTTTGACAGTTTCCTGGGAGGCGGCCTGTGTTTACCAAGACAGTGAGCAGATGAGTCTCATTGTTGAGCAGATGAGGGTGCTTGCCGATGAGATCAACAACGAAAAGTTGGCATCCTTGTCGGGCGCTAGCAGCTCGCATCACGACGTGCCCGGCCCAGAACCTCCACAGAACATTGAGGAATGTGAAGACGGTAAGCTTGAGTCATGAAGGTTTTGAGCAGGACATGTCGGTCATTGCGAGTTGGTACATGTTAGGAGCTTGACATGTCCATGAAGGACATGAGATCGACACCAGGCCATGACCAAGGCCTTGAGCTTCGAGGCGGACGCAAAAGTGTCTGCCAAGGGTTCGTTTAGGACTTGACAATATATATATATGTGTGTGTTCGCACCTTGGAAGACTTTCTTATACATTTGCACCACATTTGTTGTCTTTGCCTGGGATTTTAGTCCAGATCACTTTTTAAATGTGAACATGTAACATCAAGTCAAGTCCAGGATTAATTAGGGGAACAACCTCGCCTCCCTGATTCCGACTTGATCCTGCCGTGGACAATGTTGAGCAATGGTCCCAGAAGATTGAACTGCTAGTGACTGCTAGTGACAGTATGGCCTGAATCTCGGTTGAATGAGCTTGCTACTGGCATCATCCTCAACACCAAGGGGTCAGCTTTTGGTAAGCTTCAACTACGACAAAAGAAGTTGATCACCAGAACTCGTGAAGGTACTGAAGAGATAATGAAAACAGTTGGCGGACAGCTTGGACAGGTCAACCTTGAGCAGAAATTCGACCTTCCGGAGAAGCCCCTGTTTCGCTCGAAGAAAATCAATCTTAAAGACGCTCAGGCCCACATCACGCTTCTGGGAAGCCGGAGTCTGGAGTCGAGAAGCAAGGTGCAGATTCGCGTGCTGGGCTCTAACTTCTTCCAGGAGTTCACCACCATGAAAACCTATGACCGCCTTGCTTTTGGGGTGGAGAATGCCGAGGAAATCAACGACGAGAGCGTGATGGTGTATGAATTATGAAGAAGAATGGGATGAAGAGGCCCTAGAGGCCATGGCAGTCCAGTGGATGACGAAGATGCATCCTTGGTCTGACACGCATTGATGGAAAGCATGCAGGACGACAAAGAGGCCCGCCGTCGATTACTGAAAAAGACCCATTCTTGAGGGTTTTGGCCTGTCAAAGGCAGCAAAGGCGGTGGTGGTGGCAAAAAGAGTTATGACAAGCTCAGCAAAGGAAAGAATTGCTTCATCCACATGCCGCCTGTGTGGCCAGAAAGCGCACTGGAAGGCAGAATGCCCTATCCAGTCCTACCCGGAAGAGCTCAGCTAGTCAAGATAATGCTCAGGTGCCCACATCAATCGTGGTGAACCTGGAATCCACGCTCAAGGACATCCCTTCAGAAACCAACTTCAAAGGCTGCTCCCCGTTTGCCTGAAGCAAAGAAGCCGCCTGTGCCAGGACCTATAGCGCTCCCGCAGCTGAGGCATCTATATCGACCCCGTCGCCCAGGACGTGAAAGCCACTTGAGCCTGCAGGTTCACCTCTGGGCCATGCCGCCGTCACAGGCGAGCCCGTGAGGAAGGCAGAGTGGACAGGCTGCGAAACAAAGCCCTTCCAAGGATCGGCGTCAAGCAGCGGAGTACCATATATGGTGGCTGAATATGAAAGATCAGGCATGGAGGTGAGGGTAGCCGCTGCTCAAGGCCGGGGCAACACAAGTCGTGATTCAGCAATGACCCAAGAGGTTCACAACTGGGTATTGACGAGCCGAGAAGAGTGGCCACCACTCCATCGAGGATCGCTCACCAACGACCTCCAGTTCATCGGGCTATGACTTCAAAGAATGCCAAAAGTAGGATTTCCTCACGCGTCTTCAGCCCATCCACCGAGGTCGCGTGCCCAGGTTCACCTGGGAGTCGCCGCCGACGAGCACCGCTCTTTGGCGCGTCCAGTCAGTTCCCTGAGGCCATGGAGTACATCGTCCACCAGCGGTGCGTCATCTTCAGGGGCGCTGGCTACGTCAGCAAGCCGCAAGCGCATCGCAAGTTGATCGCCTGGGACGGAGTCCACACTCGTGAACATGATCATGCTATGATGGTTGATCTCCGTCGCGGTTCAGAGCAGTATGCTCGCCGCGCCGTGGTGAACAAGCTCAACCAGGAGCAGCGTCAAAGGAGCGCAGCGGCCTCTGCAGCTATGTCTCCATCATCTTCTTGAGGCTGGCGTCCTCGCCAGGGATATGGTGACGATTGGCAGCAGTGGCGCGGTCAGTGGTACCATCGCCGCCTGATCGGTCTTGGGACTGGAGCTCTGGCAGCTGGGGCTGGGAGCGATGGCGCTAGGCATGGATTGGCCAAGTCTCATCATTTTGGAGCGAGCATTAATTCATTTGCAGTTGTTTCACAAGAACCCATTGTAAAATATTTTTGTTGCGGAGAATTGCTCCTAAGCCAGCCAAGCCTGTCTTTTGAAGGCGAGGAGTGAATAAAAATGCGCAATGAGGCCACGTTTCTGCAGCCTTAGTCGCTAGCGCCAAGAAAGCCAGCATCGTCGCTGTGCCCTGCGCAAAGCTGCGCTTTCCGTGTCCAGCTTTGGCATCAAAGATGCCTCAGCTCAGGGGGGTGTATTTTCTCTCCGAGTGATATGTTACATTTTTGCCTTGCATAGGTTGTTATGTATTCGACTATGCAGCTCGCGGTCCAAAACAGGCGCAGTAGCTTAACGACTGTTTTTAGTCTTTATAGAACAAAGAGTCCTTTGCAATCTTTGCTTCTTACTTCTTACTTCCAGAAAATTTTCAATATGGCGCAACCATAGACTATAGTAGCTATAACATCGTACCATAAAAACTGTTCTCGTAAAAGCCTCCACCTCCTAAGGCTATCAAACCCTCAAACATGTTCAAAAACGACGCAAATACCAACAAAAGACAATGCAAGGTCGGTATATTATACGTCGTTGTATACTGTATTTCCCTGCGTATGCAGATATATGCTGACAAAGTTTGGGAATCTCAAGCAAAAGCGCCTGTCAATATGCCTTCCGACAGGGGTCCTTAGTCGGCCTGATGATTTTTTGGAGGACACGATGTGCCGACATATTTCAGTCATCAAGGCATGCCTTGCACAAGGCATGTCCTTCCTCTGTCATGTTCCAGCTTGATACACTGCAGGATTTGATGAAGTTGCGCGCGCAAGGCGTACCCAAGGAGAGCTTACAGCTTTCACCTGAGGACCCGAAGCGAACAATTTTGAACTGAAGTGTAAATGCAGGACAAAATCTTTCGGCTGCAACCTCTAATTCACGAGGCCTTTTCAGGGATCCTCGAAGCCTCAAGACAGACCGATGAAATGCTCTGCGTCTCAGGTGAACATCAACGGCACAGATTCGAGAGGAGCACAGCCCTCAAAAGATTTAAAAATCCTAGAACATGCTTGTGCTTCCTCTCTCCCAGCATTCGCAGCGTGAATCTTGTTGCAAACTTTAAATCTCAGCTTAGATCACCCACATTGATCTACATTCACATTGGTATATTGGGGTGGTTGATCGCCCATCTAATATGTAACAGATGCGATTTGGACTGGTGACGCCCACAGTACACAATGCCCAATGCCTTGATTGCGTTGATGTCATTGATGTCTGTCCCTTTTCAACCGGGGATGAGAACAAAACGTTAGTTAAGTTTCCAAAAATCCGGGCTAGAAGCTACTAGGGGCTCCTGGCATCGCTACTAGGAGCGATCGGACGCTACGAACGGGGCTGGCCTTACTACGAACGGAGTAAAGGGCGCTACGAACGGAACCAACTCAATGGGAAGTTTTCTTCTTTGGGTTCTTCAAGGAAGCTCCGAAGCTTGAAGAACCCTTCGGATTGATTTGGTTCCTAGAGCATCCGATCGCTCCTAATAGTACGGCCAGGAGCCCCTAGTAGCGTCCTTCAAGGAAGGGTTCTTCTCCGAAGCTTTTCTGTGAGCACCACGCCCCTAAAAAACAGAGTCTGCAGATTGAGGTCTTGGATTCGCTCACTGCGTTTGCTAGAGCAGCTCTTGAAAGCGCGCAGGCGAGCTTTAAAGTGAGTGTAACGGCTCTGAGCAGAGACCAGATGACTTTAGATTACTTTAGACTAGAAATAGCCATCAGCTCTGCCAGTATCAGTCCACAATACATTGCAAAGAAATCTCCTGTTGTGATTGCAGATCTACTGCGAGATCAGAGATGCTGCCGAGAATGGACAAATTGACAGACAGCAGGCAGTCATGGGTTGAACAAGTCAATACAGAAATGGACAGGGAAGCACATTGACAAGATGCTGGTGCCTGTTAATTACACTTTCCTTGTCGCACGATTCCTTCGCGATGCATTGTTGGACTTGAGGCAGCCAATCTGTTGGACTGCCTCGAAAGTGACCAAAGGACCATGTGGCGTACAAGAACCATTTGTCGGGAATTTCTCAGCTCCAAATTTGGCAGGAGAATGGTGACCGCCATGGACAACCATGCGGAGGGTGAATTAGCCTCACCATAGCCGAACGCGTGTCACCTTGTAGATAGCTTGAGAACGCATACATTGTACGCATTCTTTGGCCATTGCCGGAGTTCCGGACAGTGGAGTTGACCTTTCTAGGACAGGATGAGGCCAGTCAGACCGTATGCCAGATCTGATAAAACGGATGTTGCCGCACTTGAAGAGTTTTGGTTTAAACAAACTTGCAAAAACGGTGTCTAAGATTGAGAAGCCTGGAAGGCTGCAGGCATGTGCAAGCTTGGAAGCTTTGGTTCTTGCGGAAGTTTGGCGACTTGAAGCTTCTTAAGCACCAAGACCCAGAGTCCGACTCCAAGACTGTAGATGCTGTTGCACTTCTGGAAAGTGCTATGCTACCAGCTGTAAATGCCAGAAAGCTGCAGCATCAATCGCACTTCACCTGGCAATCTCGCTACGCACCTCGATGTTCTGGAGACGAGTTGCCACCAGCTAGCTGGCGTGAGAGGGCCTCAAAGCATAGAGAACGGTGTCCAGTTTTGCAAGGACATAGGCCACCAAGGCCCCCACATGTGAAGTATGTCCCCAAAGAACTTCCAACTGCAGAACAGGTGGACTTGGAGCCTCTTGACTTCTTACCAGCGCCCCCTGAGTCGCTAGAAGATGATGCCGATGGAGACTGCTTTGGAGTTCTTTCGAGAGTAGAACTCTCGAGATACATTGCAAGACGAAGTGCAATTCTAGTTCGCACTCAGCAATCAGGTCAGGGTGCCAGTGTAGAATCAGGGAGTGACAGGCTAGAAATGTCAACTGAGTCCTTTTGCTTGAAAGAGGTTGACATCCCATGGAAAGTTATCCTGGATGCCCTGTCATTTGAGAGAATGCAATTGCGGCGTGGCTTCTCAAATCAATGGCCAGACGCTCTGTGGTCCCCAGCCTGCTTAAATCGTGAAGCAGTCACTGAACTGGAATGCAAGCTCACCAAGTGCATTAGAGAGATAGAAGAATTGGCGGATGCACAGGATTGTGTTAGAAGCTCGCTCCAAGCCATGCCCCTTGGGGTCCTTTTGAGACACTTGCTTTGTGATGCCCGCATTGCAGTCGGAGATTTGTCCTGCGCTGCCAAAGCATTGTGGGGTGCAGTCACACCGGAAGCTGGAGCAGATCCACTACAGCCTCCTTTGCTAATTGTATGGGAGAATTGCCTCAATTGCAACTACTTGAAAGCCCAACAATGTCTCCGCTTTGGACGACTGGCGATTCTAGCAGCGGCTCAAAGTCTGGTTGCTGCTCAGGCAGGTGGAGATCAAGACGTGCATAGACGCACAGATATGCAGACTGGTTTGACGAGGCATTCCAAACATTTGCTTCAATTCCCAGGTTATTTTAAACCACTTTTGCAGGTAGCCAAAGTTGAAGCCTACACGGAGGAGCTCCGACATAGACGAGAAGCAAGGGCTTCAGATCTCCAGACTATAGACTCTAGAGATCTCTCGAGACTCTATATAGACTAAATGCGAGTGTCTCTCACCCAATAGCGATGGCCTCAAACCTAACTGCGATATAGGGATGGCCTCCAGCCTAATAGCGATGGCCTCCAACCTAATAGCAATGGCCTCCGATTGCGCAGCGATGGCCTCCAACCTAATAGCGATGGCCTCCAACCTAATGGCAATGGTTCTAACCTAGTAGCGATGGCCTTCAAGCTAACAGCCATGGCCTCCAACGTAACAGCGATGGGCTTCAACCTAATAGCGATGGCCTCCAACCTAATGGCGATGGCCTCCAAGCTAATAGCAATGGCCTCCAACCTAATAGCAACGGCTGCGGCCTCCAACCTAATAGCGATAGCCGCGGCCTCCAACCTTATAATAGCGATGGCTTCCAACCTAATAGCAAACCTAAAAGCGATGGCCTCCAACCTACTTGCGATGGCCTCCAACTTAACAGCGATGGCCTCTACCCTAATAGCGATGGCCTCCAACCTAATAGCAATGGCCTCCAACTTAACAGCGATGGCCTCTAACCTAATAGCGATGGCCTCCAACCTAATAGCGATAATAGCGATGGCCTCGAACTTAACAGGGATGGCCTCCAACCTAATAGCAATGGCCTCCAACCTATAATAGCGATGGCCTCCGATGGCCTCCAACCTAATGGCGATGGCCTCCAACCTAATAGCCGTGGCCTCCAACCAAATAGCGATGGGCTCCAACCTAATAGCCATGTGCTCCAACCTAATAGCAATGACCTCCAACCTAATAGCGATGGCGTTGCTGCACTGCTGTTGCTGCCCTTGCTGCCCTTGCTGCTGCTGGTGCGGCTGCTTGTCCTTCTTCTTCTTTTTCTTCTTCTTGGGAGTTGCCATCTCTGTCCCTGGTGTAAACCTGGTCTTGTACTGGGTGCCTGTGTTTATTCGGTCAAGATCTCACATCGAAACCGGTGTGCCATTGGGGGAAACCATCGAAACAGTGCAAACTAGACGAGATGGGCAACATACTTCTCGATCATATTGATTCCAGATCTGCATGACACAGTGGCACCCACGCTGCACTGTCTGTGAAGCCAGTATACCATTGCATTGCTACGGTGCTACAGGTTGGCTTCTGCTGCTGGTTGGTTTGCTGCCGGTTGGCTGCTGCTGGTTGGCTACGGTTGGTTTGCTGTTGGTTCGCTGCTGCTGCCTTGCTGCAGCTGGTTGGCTGTTGCAGGTTGGCTGCCGCTGCCGCTGCTGCTGATGCTGCTGCTGGTTGGTGTGCTGCAGGTTGGCTGCTGTTGGTTGGCTGCTGCTGGTTGGCTGCTGCTGGCTGCTGGCTGCTGTGCTGCTGCTGCCGCCGCCGCTGCTGCTGCTGCTGGCTTATTGCTGCTGGTGCTGCTGCTTGTCGCTGCCGCTGCCGCTGCTGCGGCACGGGCTAATCTACTCATTTGCTGTCTGTCACTGTCACGCACACCCTATGATTATAGCAGTTTTCCATTGTAGACTGTTCGTCGGAAACGTGTTTCAAGCTTGGCAGGCCTGTTTGGTGAAACGAGTGCCCCATGCGGAAATAAGTAACGCAAGGACGTTGCCGTGACTTAGTCGTGGTGTGGTGTCCCAGTGTGATTTGGTCGCCGCAGCTGCGTTGCAAGGACTTTTGAGTGTAAGTGGGGCTGGGTCTTCTGGGCAAACGTGTTCATCTCGCCAAATACCTCGCCCACATCTCGCCCTGTATCTGTTTTGGTGTTGTTTTGCTGGTGGTTACCGTCTTCTGCTGTTGCTTTTCTACTGCGGTTGGGTTGCTGGTGTTGTTTTGCTGCTGCTGCTTGCTGCTGCTTGCTGCTGCCGCTGCCGCTGCCTGCGCTACGAACCCTACTCATTTGCTGCCGGCCGTTGCTGCGCAAACTCTATATATAAAATAATCCTATATTTATGGCAGCGTCCCCTTGTAAGCTGGGCTTGGAAAACATGGTTTTGGCTTAGGCGGCCTGTTTGGTGAAGCCGCGTGTCCCATGCGGAAACAAGTGCTGCAAGGCAAGGACTTTGCCGACACTTAGTCGTGGCGTGGTGTCACACTGTGATTTGCTTGCCACAACTGCTTTGCAACGACTTTCGCGTCCGCCAAAAACATGGTGTGCCATGGGGATGGGGAGAGGAAAGCGCAAGGAATGCGAAGATAATTTCTCATGTCTGAAGAACAATTCCAAGCAGTTTACCCTTGAGGTAGGAACTTAAAGGTGGTATACCAACATGTGGGTCAGAACCGGTGTGCCATGGGGGTGGGCCCATAGAAAGCCTTAGAACCCATCAACATGTAGAAGATTGAGCCGCAATGGAATTGTGTAGTTTTAGAACCAGCTTAGGAGAAAAAAGTACTTGTTTCGAAGGGGCGTGCCGTTGTGTTTTCCAAATGGGGTAAGTTTTTGCATTCGTGGGGCAAGCGGTGTGCCATGGGGGTGGGTCAAGTTCCTGTGTGATGGGGTAAGTTACCACGCCGGGTCGTAATAGCAATGCCTAATAGCGATGGCCTCTAACTTGACACGTTGGCCTCCAACCTAACAGCGATGGCCTCCAACCTAATAGCGATGGCCTCCAACTAGACTACCGTGTGTATGCATTCATCTTGCATCTACAGCAAAGTGTCATACCACAGTATGCCTGCATGCCTAGGCCCAACATGTTGACCGAGCCAGAAGAGCACTACGCTCGGCCGGATCCTCGAATTGGAAATCTGAGAGTGAAGTCTTGTTTTTGTAGTTTTGGTATGTTTGGTTTGTCTCTTCTTTGCACTTCCTGAAGCTACCTTTCAGATGCTGCAGACTTTGCTCAATCCATTTTTGACGATGCGCGACACTTTGACATGCTTCAGCTGTGGGACAGCTATCAGGCCTGGGCGTGTTTTGTACAAGGGTCTACCTGCCTGGTCTACCTATAGAGCAAATATATACATCACGTCAATGTTGTTCACCCACCGTTAAATTTAAATTCCACCTCAGGTTCTTCCCCAACAGCAGCATGCTTTGGGGTCAGCCATAGTCCATAGAAATGTCTCGGAGCAGACCGGAGCAGTTCCAAAACCGATTCCCCCAAAGTTCCCAGAAGGTTCCGACAAGGTTCCCACAAATTTCCCAAGGTTCTCGAATTCCCAAGGTTCCCACAAGGTACCAAAGGTTCCCACAAGGTTCCCAAGGTTCCCGCCACCCTTAAGACACCCGTAGTGGCAAAGTCCCCCCTCAAAGTGATTTCGGGCAGCCTAAAAGCAAATTTGGAGGGATCTTTGCCGCTTCACATCCTTAAGACAAATGGAGGGCAGCCCAAAGGAAAACATTGTGGCTTCCTTGGTTGCAGACATTAGGTCGTTTTTCCTGTTTGTTCGTTTTTCAACGTTGAAAGGCACAATCAAGATCCTCCATAAAAGAAGTTTTGCAGCTGAACGAGTTTCGCAATTAAATACCACAATTTTGCAATTTAAGGATTCGCTATGAAAGGGCGCCCTCCATCGTGCCCACAACCTTCCCAACATTCCGACAAACTTCCCACAAGGTCCCCAAAGTTTACAAGGTTGCCAAGGTCCTTGAAGGTTCCCAAGGATTTGCAGGTTCCCAAGGATCCAAAATTCAAAAGGCGCCCAACATTCCCACGGTTCCCCAAATTGCCAAAGTTCCATTTCCAAGTTGCCCAGGCTCCCAGGGTTTGCTTTACGTATGAACCAAGTGCCTGGAGATCGGTATCACCTCCACACGCATGACCCGTTAATCCGGTTTGATGCTCTTCAAATGCATTCGAGAAATCATTTTGTCGGTCCATTTTGTCCGATCACTGGATACATTGGACACAATATGAAGTGAACTGAAACACTCTTGCCATCCGGACTGACTAAAATATTCTCCATAATAGTAACCTCAATCCTCGGATCCTACACCACCTGAATCATCACCCTGCCAAGTGCCAAGGGGTGTGTGATGCTGTTGCAGAGGGATATTTTGTCATGTTGGCCGAAAGCAACACAGGAGACATTGCTCGACTGCCACATCTCTTGCATACCTTGACACCCATGATACGTTTGGCCGCACTCTTGGCCTCCCAGTCGCACGAAGGACACGTTGAAGGAAAAACCTTTAGTCGAACACTGCTCGCATCACAATCTGGCGGAATGTGTCGTCTTTCTCGCCAATTCAGGGACTTCTTTTTGAGGCCTTGCGCCTGCTTCATGACATGTTCCTTTACCCTTACCGAGGCATCAGGAGTCTGGATCATCATACTCGTCTGCTGCGCATGAATAACCTTTGCCCCGGCAACGGGATTTGAAACCTGGTCATCTCTTTCCTGTTCCTTTACCTTTACCTTTCTTGAGCCCTCTGCCTCGGATCTTTCTTCTCCTATAAGCATGCCCATCAGCCTTCACCACAAGAAAAGGATCGTAATCATAGTCGTAAAGTGCCATACTCACGCAAAACAGTTGAAGAAACAGTGCTTTCACTGCATGATACTCTCAGTTTGCCATTGGGATTCGAAGTGCGTTCATGGCTGATACTAGTCGTTCACGTTGCTGTTCATTCAAATCGGCCTGCACAGTGAACATCAAGGCGATCAAATTTCCGGGTAGGGAAATGCATTCAATTGTTGTCGTCCTGCTACTTCTGTCCGGGCATTCCAAATCTGCTGTACTGCATCTGGTCTGTTTGCTGCATCCAGCCGTTCAATGGCGTTTCGTTCTTGAGGAGTCAAAGTGTTCGTGAATTCCACCGCTGCGGGGTCGGTAAAATCTCTATGAAGATCCATCCAAGCTGATTGCACTCTTCTCATGGTAATCTCGAAGAGAGCAATCCATGTGACCATTTCACGGCTACCACGCCATTGCCTGAATAACTGAAGGAATCGACTCAAGAAAACATGTTCATTGTCCTTGATGAAACATGGACAGAGTGTTCTTTTCAAGTAAATATAATCTACTCCATTGTCCGGGTCAGCAAGCAAACAATTTTCTAACATGCCCTTGTAGTGTGCAGCCGTGCCTACTCAACTGTTCCTCAAACTTGGTCCATGTTTTCTGGGCTTTATATAATGTTGTCAGGTTCAACCAACCATCAATACTATCTTAGTACTCAAAACTTTACAGGATGTTAAGCCGTGGATCATAGGTGCGATCTTCGGAGTCATCCTTAGAGCTGAGAGGCCTCGGGAACCTGAGCTGCATAGGCATCCGGCCTGATCACATAGCCTGCCGCTAGCGCTGCATTAGGTCTCGAGCTGGCTTGCGCTTGATAGTAGCTACCTTCTGGATAATAGTCTGATTGATGTCCTTCTTCTGTTGATTCACTGTCGCTCATTGTGTGTCAGTTGTAGCTGCTCTGCTCGAACGAAGGTGCGTCGAAGCATGCCTGTTAGTTCGGGATATATTGAACAACGTGAGCTCCGCTACCGCTTTGAGGGTCAAATTCCCCGCAGTGGCAACGTAGTGTCATAACAGCCCTGGATCAAAGCTTACAAGCGAGTGAGCGAAGGCGAATGAGCGGTCTTTTCACACGCATGTACCTTGAGCCAAATGTTACTGGCGTATAATGCGTGTACATGTCATAGCGTTGCGTAAAAGCATAAATAACTTAAATAACCACTTGTAGCAACAGCGGAAACGGGGCCCAAAACAAGAAGCTGAGGAGCAAAAAGGAGGAGAGCCAGGTGTTGGGGTGCTGAACTTGTGCCTGCGTTTTAATTGTCTGTTTGACCAGGGCCCCCTTCTTGTTCCAACTTGATTCTTCTGCAGACGCATTTATAATTTCAATCGTTGGCTTCTAGCCTCATAGGTTTGATGGATGAACAGGGCTCATGAGCTCATGACCGAAGCTTGAGTTTGAGGCACTCCGAAGAGTTCACGGTCACTTTTCAGCGAAGGGTCTTTGTATAGCAATGATAGCAGCCCAAAATGAGCAGTCAGAGCGACTCTGTCAGTCTTTGGAGGGCTCTGCTGGGTTTAAGTTTGGAGGCAAGCGGTCGCGATCAGTCCTTGACAGTCTTTTGATTTTCGCGCGCAGGTCTACGTGGGAAGCAATGGACCTGCGATTTGCAAGCGCGGAGAACGAAGCTGCGTTCCAAAGTAGAATGCAGTCCCATCCACTTCATCCACCTTTCTTGGCCTCCTTTGTAGGCGCAAATAAGTTGAAATATACTGATATATACTGCAACCAGAGAACTAACTGCAAGTTGCCTTGTCACTTGTGAATTGAAGGCGTGGTGCACGTGGCCTTACAGCTGTCCCTGATGGCAATGTTTCTCTTCAGTGATGAGGCTCACTGCTTCTGTCCGTTTTTAGCATGTGAACTTGTGGTGGAAGTTGCCAAGGCAACGCTCTGCGGAGAAAATGTTCCCGGCACCTATTTCTTGTTGCAGGCTCATGATCTGCTTCCGTGTGGCATGTGGCGCACAGACCGCGTGTGCTTTATCCCGAGCGTGTCTCTCCTCGCGAGAACCCGGAGTGAGCTTGATATGTGCCCTCCAGGCCCTAATCGAACTAGGGGGTGAAGTCGTTGCGTTTAGCGACCTGCAGGAGTCCATGGCGCAAACGTTGATTAAGACTTGATGACTTGGTTTTGACTGGAGCAGTCTGAGCTAGAAGGAGTCCGTAGCTTTTGAATTCGAGATCAAGTGATCTCTGCCGGCTTCTTAGCATGCACACTGCGCGTTGCACACGCCCACCAAACAAGGCAACGCGCCCCAGGTGGGCACCCTTCATCTGGTTTCCCTTTTCATTTTCCTTCACGCGCTTTCTTTTCCTTTTTCTTTTCATGTCTCCCCTGCCTTCATGTCTGGTCACTTCACCCCGTTCTTCTGTTTTGTGCGCGCAATTGTGTGGCCCTTTAGTGCGGTGTGCTCATTTACAATGAAGCTAGGTTCCAGGTTACCAGGTTTTGTCATGTTGGTGCAAGGGTCTCTCATGAACTTCACGGGGCATGGTCTTCACCCCAGGAAATTCAACCTCTTTCCAAACCCCTGAGAAAAACAGCGAACTCTTCTTTTTCTGCTGTTCTCGGTGGATCCTCCCGTTTGAAGACCTTCAATGGCTTCCAAGAGTTCTGACTCTGCGGTGGAGAGTGCTGGAAATTGGCTGACGACCACTCTTCCAAAACGTCACGACACCATTCCAGAGCAGGCCTGAGTTTACAGGCGTTGCAGCAAAACTGAAATCGGTGTAGACTTCCAAAGCCCTCTGACCACCGTCTCATCCTTTTCCCTTTGAAGGGCGAAATTCCAAGCCTTCATTTGGAGTGTTCTTGAGGTACTTCCAGACTTATGTGGCTTGGTCAATGACCCAGGTGGGATGGCTCAAGATCTCTTGGGCACAGCGGCTAGTGGCGAAAGTAATATCAGGCCTTGTGCGCGTTGAGAGCCACATCAATTCACCCACCAATGTTTGAGCTTGATTGACCAGCTCTGGAGTAGGATCTTCTTAATGCGGAGCAGCTTCTTTCGCTTTCAGGGATCCCCTCCTGGTCTTTTATGTAGTCTTCTTGAGACGCCCGGAATCCTCCTTCTGGGGTTCTTGTGATCTCCATGCCAAGGAACTTGACCTTTTGTTCGCCAAAATCTTCTGGCGGAGAGGTTTCCCACAGGGCTTGGAGAAGGCCAATGACCACTCGAATGGTCTTTTCATCACTTGTGATCATCAGATCATCGACATACACCAGTAGGAAGCCCAGCATTCGCCCCTCCTGGTGTTCTTATGCTCCACAAGTTGGGCTCGGCTTCAGCCTGAACAAAGTGGTGTCCTTGAGGTGATCGCATGCCTCTCAGGACTTGATCACGATATAGTCCCCAACACCTTGGTGACTGGCGCAAGCCGTGCGTAGCCTTTTGAGCCAGGTAGTAGTCCTTGGGGCCAACGTGTCCAGTCTTTAGAAGAAGTGCTGGAGGTTTCAGTGCAGGGCAACCATAGTCGCTTCTTGGCTTTCAGCCTCGATGTCCAAGGGCGCATTGAGGAAAGCAGTTCTTATGTCCAAGACCGAGGCGCACCAGCTTCAGCTGACCGCTGGAGGACATAGCGCAAGCAAACGGCGTCGGCGCCTGATGCATTTCGGCACTGGTCTTTCTGCTCAGCAGTGGACTGATCAACGAAGTTTCCACATGCGACCAACCGAATCTTCCTTCTAGGGCGAGGCTTCAGGGTGATCGCAACCTCGGAGGGCAGGACTTCTAGCTTCCTTCCCCACTTTTCTTGAAGTTCTTTGAACTCTTTTTCATCAATGCGACGAAGAGCTTCTTTCTCTTCGAACAATTGGTGAAGCTCTTTCTTGATCGCTTCATCCCACTTAGGCTCGTGCCCTCACCTTAAGATTTCAAAGCTCTTCATATAGACTGCGTCCATGACCTTCATCTCATCTTGAGCATGATGACACTTTCTTCAAGGACGATGTTCGAGATCCGCTCGCCATGCCGTTCTCTCTCGTTTTCTAATTATCTCCTCATATTCATCCTCTTCATCCATCATCTTTCAGGACCAAGTGTCCATGGGCATCAGGACGAGGTGCAGGGTAGCGGACCTTCCGCCAGGTCCTGGTCAGCCATCCGTCTTCGTTCACGTTCATGGACGTAGTGGCACGCTTGAGGCCATCGACTTGCAGGAAGTCCTGCCATGCCCAGGGCTCGACGGATATGGGACTTGATCGTTTGGATCGCCCTCTCAGCTCTTATTCCATTTGAGTGGGAAGACACCGCAGCCGTTGTGGTTCGATGGATGTCCCTGGCCACTGTAGGAGAGAGCGTCCACGGAATTCCCCCCCAAATCAATTGTAGCCTGGAGACATGATAGCCCATCGCCCTCAATTGGATGTACATTTGTTGGATCGTGGAGAGGACAGTCTTTTGATCCTGTGAAGACATAGGGATGGCCAGGCGAAGCGATGAGGTTTGGATCCTCCTTTTCTTCTCCTCCTTCCTTTATTTCTTCTTCTACCTGGTCTGCTTCTGGTTCCTCCTCAACTTCTTCTTCAAACACAACAGCGTCTGAATCAGCCACTTCGTCATCAGGCACAGGTGGGTGTTGATCCTGAGGCAACAACCAAGTGTAGGTTCCCACCAAAATGTATTTGGCAATTTCTCTTCCATCCTTGGCCAAGGGAAGTGGTCCAGCTGGAGTCCAAAGACAAAGTCGCCGCCAAGGGATGTGCCACTTTTCGATGAGGCCTTGATTTGGCACTTGACAAATCTCTTCGAAACGGAACATGTCGCTGTTCCCAAGTCATCTTTTTCAGCTTTGTGGGACCTTCTTCATTGAGACATGCCGAACACGCTTCTGCGATGGAGCGACAAAGTCCAGGGACCCAACGTGAGAGTGACGAAGACGGCGCCTTCTGGCATTCATTTCTTCCTTTCGCTTCAGGATTTCGTTCACCAGGAAGGCGGACTTCAAAATTGGCTGCCAGTCCGGTGGGTTTCACTGGGGCATCACTTTTCCAGGGTTCAAAGTCACCTTGATGGACGTTGTAGAGCTCGAGGTTGGCAGCTTTCTGCAATGACTTCCATTCCTCGGTTCCCCAAAAGGAGACACAGTCAGGCGTGTAGCGCGTGGGGGTCAGCAGGCTGTTCGAGCAAGAACATAGTTCCATTCTTTTCTTTTCTTTCTTCAGCTTCCGTGCTGGTGGAGTCCTTGAGCCTTCGAGACATGTCGGCGACGAGGGACAAGAAGATCTGCCTCCACATCAGAACGTCATCTTCTTGACACATAGCCAGTTCCTCAGGGCTGTGCTGAGAAACCGCCCAAGGTTCCTTCCAAGATCGCACAGGCCGAGGTTTTGCTGGGTAGTGTCGGAGTACAGATCGAGTTCTGCAGTTAAGGCCACCTAGGACGGCTGCAAGGTCACCATCCAGTGCCAAACGGAGCAAAGCTTTGAGGCCTTTGATTCAGCTGCGGCCATGTCATGGTCCTCCCCCCTTTGTAGATCCACCTCCAAGGTCCTAGAACCCAAGTCATGTTCTTCCATAGCTTTCTGAAGCGTGAACCCCTCCTTCTTTCCAGCGTAGAGGTGCAAGATGACGGAGCCTGCAGCTTTCAACCGCTTTCGTTGGTGACGATTGGCTGGCAGGTCACTCCACTCCCCCGGAGGCAGGGCCGCCAGCTCTTTGTCAGGGTGGACTTCGCAGGCCACGCGGGCTTGCTTGACTTCAAGGCCTCTTTTGAGAGCTTCAATGCGAACAGTGGCTATCAGAGGTCGAAGTGGGTGTGTAGCCCCAGAGCCCAACAGACCCCACTCTTCATCATCCTTTGACCCATCTTGGCCTCCCTGACCTTTGTGAGCTTCAGCGTCTTGATGCTCTTCTTGATCTCACCCAGTTGTTGATGTAGCCGACTGAGCTTGGCTTCCGAGGCTTCCTTGTCCTTCATGACCTTGAGCATTCTGTTGGCCTCAGCCAAGAGTTCATCAATTTTTTCATCCTCCTGTCCTCCACTTCCCTTCTCACCTTCTTCACCTTCGTGTCAACCTGCAATGCGTTGCGAGCCAGCGACGCTCGGAAGCGAAGACTTTCATTTCCTTCCGAGGTCTTTCTTGTAAGGCGGTTGAGGCCTTTCACCAAGATCGAAGGATCGGGGCTCAGTTGCTCCGATCTCTTGAGCTCGTGCACGCCATCGGAGCCACCGACGAAGTCCAACCACTGTATCGTGTAAGTTGGATGGTTCTGCAGGGAAGGCTCAATCTCTTGGTGGCTACTATAGTTCATCTTTCTGAACCTTGGGGATCGACTTGAGCAGGAGGGTGGCCATTCTTCTCTCCAACTTCGCCCACTTTGGGACATTGAGGCATGCAGGAGCGACTGGCTCATGGCGGACCCTTTTGAAAGGTGGCGTGGACTGATGGTCCTGGCACGACTTCTCAACTTCGGCCATCATCTTTTCCCACCATACATCCGAGGTGGATGTGAGATCAGCCACAACCGGCTGCGCAAGCAACAGCCAATAATCACCAAGCTACAGGAAGTTCACCAACCTGTCTTCATACTTTCCACCAAGAGGGACATGACCTCCATCTGTTGCACCTCCGGTGACGGTCAAGAGGTACCCTTCGGAACTGTAGGGCTTCTGGACCTGCTTTCTTCTTTGGATCTTGAGCGGCTTCCCTTCCTTCGATACTTGGTGGCGGTGTCATAGCCCCATGCTGCTCTTCCTCGTTCACCGGCTAGTGGCTTCGGCATGACCGGCTCGGGTACCTGCTCTTCAGGAGTGCCAAAGGTGGAAGGTGGGTTTGCCAATTCCTTTCGTTCCTTCTCCCCTTCGTTCATGTAGTTCTAGTTGCAACAGGGTGTTTTCCAACTTTTGTTGATGGCAAAGTTCGGTCAACGTGCGAACCTCTTAAGAAATCTGCCACCGCCACATGATATCTTCCTCTTGTTGAGCTTCATGTAGGCGGTCTTGTTGGTCCAAGTCATAGACCTCCGGTCCCTTTCCTTTTGAGACCTTCGCTTCTGACCCTGTCCCTCACTGCTTCTTTGTCCTTCAGCCTCCTACCCTTTTCTTCATACCTATTTTCTTCCTCTTCCATGAAGTCCGGTCGCTTCGACGTCATGCGAACCTGGTCCTCGCTTGGAGGCAATGCGCCATAGATCAACGGGGCTTGTCGTGCTTGAGCTCGTGCAGACTTGAGTTGATCCCGAGTGAACAAGGGCGGCTGACCTGACGAGTTTGCCCCTAGGACCTTCCAGGTCTCTTTTGGGCTGACTTTGGACCTACCACTTTTGAAAACATCCAATTCAGTCAAACCTGTTCCGGTGTCCTGTCTGACCGTGGTGCTTCTGGTGGGTGTGCTGAGAGGCTTTTCTCCAGCGACTTCGACAATCTCTAGGCCCTAGGCCATCCCGTCGAGGGGCATCAGGCTGGGCCTCGACGGCCACCAACTCCTGGCCTATGATTTGAAGATCTTCTTCGCCTTGAGGATCGTCGTCCTCCGCTCCAGCCCTTGAAGTGCGGCGACGGCGCAACATCGGCGGGTCCGGTGCTCTAGAAGATGAGGATTCACCCTGCGTTGGCCCCGGAGAAAAACAGCGAATTCTTCTTTTTCTGCTGTTCGGCTGTTCGTGGTGGATCGTGTCAGATCCTTTCAGGTCCATAGGACCTGGTTCTCTTGAAAAGGGCTGCGACGCATTCACAAATGCCGTATGCATGAACTGCATGGTGGAGCTTTCAGCGCGTCATAATGAGGTTTGGCTCATCTTTTTGTCCGTGTTCATCTGGTTTGCTTGTCATTGCCCTCACATATTTTTCGCGTTGTTTCTTTCATGTCTCTCCTTCATGTCTTTTCATTTGTCCCTCTTGCCCACACATGTGCATTTCATGCCCCCCCTCGGGGAGCGTGTGCGTGGAACCCTTGGAGTCAGAGGGGCCTTTAGGCTTCAAAGCAGGGGCATGCGGCCTTTACGCAAACGCGTGCCAACGAATCTATTAATCTATGCGTGGTGGTGGATTTCTGGACTTGATCACTCTGGTGTACCTTCTGCGATGATGACTCCTTGCTTCCTGCTAGGCCCCGTTGTAATGAGAACAAGACGGCCAGCCATTGCATCAGTTGGAACCTGCCGTCATGCTGACTTACCACCCTGGGGCCTTTGAGACCTTTGGGACTTTCATGGTGAGGTCTCTCATGGTTAAACTCTTTCGCGCTCCTTTTACCAAGGATTTTATTCACTTGGGTTTCCGTGCGACATGTGGCATTCAGACCATACGTACTTTATGCCGAGTGTGTTTATGCGCGCGAAAAGTCTTTGTTTGACTCGGGCCCTCAGCCTTCCGGAAAAGGTTCGCCGTCGGCAGCTTTGCATTGTTGCAATAGATAACGTGTTTCTTGTGTTTCGTGTTTGCTTTTCTCTGGTGTGACTTGTTGGACTTTGAGGGCGTTGGAGTGGTGTTCATGGGCGCCATTAGTGTCGCAAGCCTACTCAAAGAGATCAGGAGGCCGCAACATGTCAAGTGTCGAAGCGTGATCGAATCTCAAACGCCCTCCTCTCCTGCTTGACTAGGTGCTCTCTGTCTTTGGAAATATTGTGGGTGGGCGCACTTTTTGGAAATATCGTCGTCAGAAACTCAAGTTCTTGAATTTTTTCTTGGCAACCGAGAGTGACATTCAATTGACCAGGCTGGATTCTTTCAGACTCGGCAAGGGCTGTTTTGGCTTGGAACCAGGCTGGTAGCCCGACATACCTTGATTGAAATGCAAGGTTCATGGATTGAAACTTGCTTGAATTTCAAGGATTTCAACAAATCAAGATTCATCCATGGACAGGACAAAACTAGGAGCTCCACACGACATTGTGGTAGTCAGACTGTAAACAAATTGTTTGGACTCCTGCGGCTCACCACCGAGTGTCCCTGCAGCAGGAACCCCACCCAGTGTTTTACCAATTTGCCACGATTGGCCAGCAGTCCGGACCACTCAGCGTTGGCTTAACCAGCATTCCACCTACCCAAACGACTTTGCTCACGGGGATAGCTCGACTTCCAAGCTTCACACCCAGCAAATACGCTCACCGTCTGCTTCCGGTGTGTCGAGATGGCAGAAAACCTGGAACATTGTAATAGGCCCTGCAGGTCTGTCGCATGGGGATTTGCAGTTCCCTTTTGACGTTTATGTTTTTTGTTGTTTCCCTTGTCGTGTTGTTTCTTTTCTGCCTGTTTTGTTTCTGGTCTCTGGATGTCCTTTCCTTCGGGCCTATTAAAGGGCCTATGAACCCCTATTATGCAAATCTTTCTGGGATGGATGGCAACTAGCTGTGGAGGAATTCTATTTTGGACCCAGAGAAGATGGGTTTGTCATATCATAGCCGAAGGCTTGCATAATCTTTAGATCTTTTTTACCTTTGCTGGACAGTTGTTACCCACTAAGTTCTTGGGGTCCGCGGCGCACTATAGTGCACTCTGCTTTCTCCCTGGGGACGTAGGCAATTCGGTTGCCACCCAGTCCAGAGCTGAAGCTTTGAGCTCAGGCCCCAACAGAAGAAACATGACATGAAGAAACTAACCACTGGCCAGAAAAGAGCAGTTTTCTGGGGCTTTCATTTTGGACTTGATGTTCCAAGATACACATTGTTTTTCTCAATGCCCTGCATCCCCAAGCCACAAGTTCCGAACCTGCTAAAGTCCAGCACACTCCATATTGTATGCATCCCACTTGCTGGAGCAACCAGCGTGTCCACAGCCTTCTATGAGTCGCCAGTAACTGTGTGTTGGATGTTGCGCCGGTACCCGCACTTTTAGGCAACGATACGCAACTATAAAGCTAGCGGGTTTATGTTTAGGTTTTTGTTACCTTCATGGATATCTCTCAGAGAGTTGTCAGAACTGTTCAAGTTTGAAGTATGATCGAGAAATGCGTGGCTAGAGCCACATCTGACAAAGGTGTCAGCGAAAACGGAACCATCCGTAATGGAGTATGGACAAGAAAGGTTCCCTGTCAGAACTCCCGTGTTTTTGTGTAGACCCAGCTTAAGTTTACACGGGTGAAGCAAACAAGCTTCCAGAAAGGAAGTGTCCTTGACCCTGTTCCAGGATTGTCCCTGCTTGCATGGACACCTGGAGAGACTTAGAAATCTCCGCTGTTCTTTTGACGGCCAGCTGCTCAAGAGCTTCGCATGTTCATCAATTTTTTTCCGTTCTTGCTGAGGTATTTGTTTCGATTGGTTGCCATGTCTTGCCGATACGATGCTATTACCTGTGGCCATTGGTGGGATTGGCCATGGGATCTTGTTTTATCCAGGCTCATGATTGCCCGAAGTGATGTTGCACTGTGCGTTGCAAGTGTATCCCGAACATCCGAACACATTTAGCAGTCCTCCTTGCTTGTAGGCCATTGGCGCAGCATGCAGAGCTTCAGAGTACGAAGGATCGTGTTGTGCCACAGATCACGAATTCAATTGCGCAGCTTTCGCAGGACTCGCAACTGCATCTAAGCTGCTGAATGGTCTGCTAGTATTCTTTCTTTTGAGCTCATCATATGGCTGGTAGCTCAGCGAAGGCTCAGCAACTGCAGCTCAAGAATCTTTCGGGGTAGATCGTAGTAGAGCTGTGGACACAAAGGTGCAGCTCACTGCACGGAAAGGAGACGACGCGAAGAATGGCTGAAACTCGCCACCCAGGCAGTGCGACATGCAAGTTCAGGCGTGTTCATGTCAAGAGATTGTTTGAGTTGTGAAGGAACAGATTTTGGTGGAGGCATGGCGTGACTTTTTCTAGATTTGGATGGACCTTCGAGAATTGTGAGCATGATTCCTCATTGGTACAATCATCATGTCACCATGTCTTTCATCTCTCAAGCCATCTCCTCCCACCCAAGTACTTCTGGCTACTTATTGCAAAACAGCCCATCGAAATTCTAAACTCCAGCTTGCTTCGAGTAAAGCAATCCCAAACACATACCTGTGAGGGGTTCTTACAACAAAAGGGTGTTTTGATGTTTTGGCTGGGTCATAGGGTTGTCTGTGTCCGGCTCTCTCCGGGAATTTCTTGGGGGTCGCCTCTTTTGCGGTGTCTCCGCATTTCTCCGGCTGTCCGACCCAACCACGCCCGATCCAAGCAACTTTCCAACCCCGAAGACAGCTGGAGACAGCAACAAGACACCACAAAAGAGGTGACCAGCAACAAGGCACAGCCGGAGAGAGCTGGAGACAAGCACAGAAAACCCTACGACCATGGAATGCCTCATAGATAAACCTGGTTGGGGAAAGGCAAATTCTCTTCGCAGTTTCTTTTTGTGTTTGGGGTCTATGGTGGAGTAAATTACATGAACACACATATTCTATTGGTAAGGGGTCTGGTTTCCTACACTTCTCGAATTCCTGGCCACATCGAAGCCGCAAAGTCAAAAGTTCTTCTTTTGCAAAAAACTCTTTATTTGTAAGGAGTTCTTTGCTTGTAAGGGACCCATCAAACTAACTAGCATACAAGGGTTTGGAATGGGCAGAAGTCAAACGGAAATCTATGCAAAAATTAGGGTTCGTGTGTAAGATGCCAATCAAGGTAAACAACATTGATTGCAAAAGGGAACCGTTTAACTCACACCAACACGTCGCAAATCAGCTCATTCCTTCGGAGGAAACGTCTGAAATTTGAAATTTGGCACGCCACCCAATGCTTCCAACACCGACCTAACCTAACAGGGCGCAATTTCAACCCCAATTGACACACATATTTGGGGCCAGACAATTGTGTTTATATGGGTTATGTTCAGTATTGGGAACTTGGGATCAATCTCTCCTCGACATCTCGTCTTGTTGCTTCTCCCGCAGGGATCTTTTCTCGTTTGGCCCGTCCATTCTTTCTCTTACTGATCTTGTCTGATTCCGTATCACGCCCGAGTGACCTGTATTATGGTTGTCCTCTTTTTTGCCTTTGGCAAGCTCAAGTTGCAGACTTGATCAAGGCCTTGGCCAAGAAGGAACTCTCCAAGGTGCGTTTCTCTGGCTTGAGGTTTCTTATGGAACGTGCCATTGCTATGATGGATGTGCATTCAATGCCTTCTTAAGATAGCTTTTGATTCACACTATGAGGTTGCCTTGGCTCGGGACTTGAAGATCTTCAGGGTCTACGGCTGTTGCTTGGTCTTTGGCCTTCTTGAGGACTCAGATGAACTTTGCGATAAGTCTTTTCATCCAGATCCTGCTAGTCAGCTGCTAGTCAGCCAGTCGTAGGACCTTCGAGTCAGCATTGGCTCGTGCCGCAGTGCGCAGATGGTTTTTGGCAAAAATGTGGCTGGGCACAGCTTCCTTTCACTCATCGCCGAGGAAGACAGGCTTGCCAAATGAAACTTGCTTGATAGATCCTGATGTTGCTGCAAATTCATGTTCTATTGTGCAGCAGGGAGAAGTTCTCTGCACTTTGCCAACGATCTGTCATGGCCTCTGCACTTCACGTTGGGAATGAACACCAAGAATTCGTGCCGAACATTATTTTTCTCTTGCTGCTGTGTAGTCTTTATCTTTAATTTGAGCATCTGCCGGGCTTCAGAGAGCAAGTGATTGCAAGAGTTAGCAAGTGCTTGAATAGTTTCACATATACAGTATACAGTATACACAAGTCTAAGCTGCACTATATGACCACCTTTTTCAGGCTTTTTGGGGTATGACGGACTAGGTCTAGGTAGGCTGTTGTGTCCTTGTGCATCTATGTTACAGTAAAAACACATGTTTTCTGCGCAGGGAACACAGGTGATTAATCTGGATCTTGAATGCATAGATGCGCATGTTTGTCTAACATGCTGATCTTGAGAGTTGTTTGTCGGCATTGCTGTGACAAGAATTTGTTGTATGTTGTTGTACTTGCTCTTGTTGGGGGAGAATTCAATCGGCAACCTTTGGCACAAAACTTCAACCATTACTGTATTTATAAAATTAATAAAAAATAAATGTAACTAAAAAAAACTCCTTGCGACACTGGAAGGACCAGTTGAGTGGGTAATCGCTAATGGGTGGCCTGTGTTTGTTCTGTTCGAGAGAGAGAGGTGACGGAAAGAAAGGCGGAATATCTAGAGCCTAGAACAGAGGGAGAAGAGACACTGGCAAATTGTAGAGTCACCGACCGACGTTCAGTTTATTGTTGCACTACTTGGCTTGCCTGAGTTGGCAAGTGCATACTTTCCAATATAATATGTGCTTCTAGCTATATTGGAGCACATTTTGCTCCACATTTGCTGGGTTGCACGCATGCTTCCATTCCCCGGACCATTCTGCTTTGTTTAAGTTCAAGGATTCCGACTGTAAGCGACTTTGGCTTTCGCATGAGAGAAGTTGTGCAGTTGTGCACCAACACATCAAATTCATCCAAATTCGTCAGGATGGTTCCAAGATTCCTCGAAGTATGGCACTGAAACTGATCGTTCAGGATGGGAGCAAGTCAAGTATGTTGACGTCAGTCCGTCCTTCTTGGAGTATTTCAAGCTTGCTTGCCAGAGGATGTACCAACAACTGTACGAGTACTGGTGGTGCATCATGGGCACGCAGGTCAGGGAACGATGGCAAATGTCCAAACAAGTAAAATGAACAATGAATCAAAGAGATCACTCAACTTCGCTTGCTTCTTGTATTTGTTTGCTTGGCATCCCAAGCTGTCATGGGAGGCAAAGACTTTCTGGTGGGAATCAGGCAAGACCTCCACCGTGTCTGTGATATGTTTGTGTGAAGAATCTTGCTACAAGTACTACGCAGGCGGCCGGCAAATTACTGTAGATCTTTGGGTCAAGACTTTAAAGTGGGTGTGCAAGAAGTGTTGGAAAAGGGTTCCTGTATGCCTGTGTCCCGAGTCCAGTGGCCTTTTGTTGGGATTTCTGGTCTTAAAGTCTCGGCAGGATGGATCTTGCTGGCTGGATGGAGGAGAGACAAAATAGGATGTGCAAAACCCGATAACTCCTGATTGTTTCCCACATTTAAGAGGCAGTCAAGGACAAGTAAAGCCAAATCAGCTTCGCTTCCATGAATTTTGATTCACCTTTTTGGTGCTCCAGGATCCAGAGAAGTCACTCAAGCCACTTGAGAGACGAGAGGATCTATCCGTCCAACCAGTCATCCCGTCTCCTCACAAGCCGGAGCCTCCAGATGCTTGGCAAGCCTTGCCCTCGCCTTTCTATTAGCCGAATTGTAGATTGCTACTCCTTTTGCCGAGGAAATCGATTTGGCAGTACACGGTCAACTTGGCCCAACGCTACAGAGCCCCAGGACCTCCAGCCTAGGGCCTTTAGGGCCCAGAATGATTGTGAAAGTGAACACATACATGGAGGAACACAAACTATTCTGGCTTCAGCAGCGATGACAATGTGAGCGATGCTGGCCTTTCCTACACAGAATCTCGTGACGAGAACTCAGGCCACGCTTGGACACTTGCAGAGTTACCTGTAGGGCTGTATACAGCATATAAGGCAAACACATGTAGAGTTTGTTGTGGAGATGCAGAGCAACGATTCTGCACGCAGCGGCCTGACAATATGACAGAACATTGTTAGTGGTTCGCCAAGTGTGACGTAGATGTCCTCTCAGTGTCCTCAACGTCACTCCTAACTCATTGAAACTCCAACAGCATCATGTATATATCTATAAGTTAGTGTACGTATGCGTTTGAATTAGCACATCATCAATCATACATCGAGTACCTAGTTCCCTAAAGCAAACAATCCGATTCTATGCGGTTCTGGCGTAAAGTGTCCCTGCGTTGCATTTGCAGAAATAAGCAGGGTATGCTCGTGAGCCTAGACTCGCGAAATCTGCATTCACCGTGCATGTGGCGTACACGAGTGGTCTTGATTCGAGGCCGTGCAATTAAATACAATTGTAGTAGCGTCCTTGCTCCTAGTAGTAAGGCCAAGAGCCCTAGTAGCTTCTTGTTACTAGTAGTATGGCCAGGAGCCCCTAGTAGCGTCCTTGCTCCTAATTTGCGAGATTGATCGAGATTGTTGTTCAGCAATGTCCGCTCAAGAAAAACATGCTTGTTGATGTTTCTGAACCCTTTGAACATTCTTGGGGCTGACAACCGATATACTATAATTTTTGCTTCAGCAGCACTGCTTTGAACGTCGGTGCTCTGAGAATCAATGGTAAACTTGCCACCTTGGCTTGGAATATCCCAACAATGAGGACTCTGTTCTGAAGAATGCTTTGCTGAAGGTTGCTAGTTTCACACGCACACTCACAATGCGGATCTGGCCCTTTTCGCAATCCGACATGGTAGAATCAGTACCTGAGATATGCTCTAGTTTGTCAGGCTGTCCATGGCTGGCCTACAAATTGGAAAGGGCCATTTCTGTTTTTGGTAATTCAGCGATACAAGGTTTTGAGGTTTATCAGCAGCTTGCCAGTTGCTTTTGTTCTATTGAGTTTGCTTGGCCGCTACATTTGCATTCTGCGGTCATGGCTGCCATGTAGTGCGCTACCAGGATTTTCACAAGCACGCCGAACATCCGAAAGAACCCAGTGTTGTTTCAATAGCGGCCACCCATGGGATTGTCCAGAATACCTTTCAGCAGTGGATTGAACTGGTTTGTTTAGCTCGTTCGGTCAGGCTTCAGTAGCGTCTTGTTGGGCATAGATGAGAAGACGCAGACTGATGCATGGTTGGGTCAGACTGACCACTGTGCACTATCCTTAGCCTTTTAAAGGATTTTGCAGCGCCAGCTGAAAGACGAACGCACGTGATGGATGCTTCTTTTGCTACCTCCAAGACTAGTGTGCCGTCTTAGGTGGAGACCGAGACTTGGGATGGCTTCCGGTGCAAGTGCGGCAATCACCCAGAGCAGCCATTGACTGAACAGCAAAGAGCAATGATCGCTTGCCGTGACTTGCGACCAAAAAGGACAGGCCCTTTGTTGGACAAAAAGAATCTCATGATCATCTATTGTCTATTGTATGCTACGAAAGCCAGCCCATAGGCTAGGCTGAAGTGCTAGATGAGCGAACGAAGTGAGCATTAGGGTGTGTGGTAGGGTGAGACTGCTGGGGGAGAGCATTCAGAAGGAGGTGTCCAAAATGCATCTCCATAAGGGCCTTGGTGATGCGAGTGATGCCAAAGAGGGTTTTGCATCACCAAGTGGCCATGATACCATTCAAGTGGACAGCAGCATGTCCAGTTGTGTGTATGGTTCTTCCTCAGCAAACGTGGAAGTGGTCAGCTGTAAAGACAGCAACCTGCAAGCAAGCATGTCACCGCTATAAATACCTCAACGAAGAAGGCAATGTGTGGTGCCAGCACAGGACCGTTTTCTGTACTGCGCAGCTGTGAAAAACAAGCAGGCGTGATTTGTGCAAGCAGCAGTGAACGCGTAGAACACCATCTCAGCGGTCCAAGAGAGGGTGGACCGAAACGCACCGTGACCAACGGTCCCAACGAAAAGGCAACGTGTGGTAGTGCTCTTCTTACAGGTTTTGGCAACGTTTTGGGGAAGAAAAAAGGGCACCAGCAAAGGAGCGCAGTTTTCTGGGTCTCCCGCTCAGCTGTAAAGAAAATACGTCGAAGCACTATGCTTGCTCTGCCGTAAAGACAGTCTACCTTGGCAAGCCTAGTGCGTATAAGAGCCGCATGGACGGCACTCTGCAAGCTGGCGCGCTTCGTGCTTGCAGCGGAGAAGTTAATAGAAGTTATGCGTAGAGCACTATGTAGGACGGGGCGCAAGAATGACGGCGGTTCTGTATATATATATATATGTGTATATCTATCTATCTGTTTATCTATCTATCTTTCTCTCTTTTTGTAAATAAATATATATATATATATATCAGCGCGCTTGAAACTACTTGATTGATGAGTATGTCAATGACTCTCAACGTGCGTGATGGGTAGTCTGTCCATGAGATTGTGGAGGCACCGACGCAAGAGCGCGTCCTCCCTCGAGTCGCTATCAGGGACATGGGCGTTCTGGCCGCAAAGAGAGGTTTCTGTAGCAGGTTTACTGAGCGCGCATTGCTTGCAGGACGGTGTGCTGCATGTATTTTATGCAAAGGGTTCTTCAAACAACCAACGCACTCTTGATATGTCACAGAACGCATCACACGGCTACACTGCGCCCCAAGCATTCCATTACATCACACTTCCCTCACCCGCTTGAAAATTTCTGCATGGCACCTTCGAGGGTTTGTCCCCTTGCAAACCAACACTTTGTGAAACCTGTTTGTTTCGTTCAAAACCTAAAGCACCCTTTTCGTGAAACACAATTGGGGCACGCAGTTTTGTGTAGGACCCTGGGAGGTTTGAGCCAGAAGCTTGAGGGTCGGCGTTTTGTAACATAGAATCAGCACCCCAAGAGACTGGGTGAGTTTGATGACACACTTATATCGTTATTTCCAACCAATTATATATATATATATACATTGACTCTAAGACTCACTGGCCGCACGTCGTCACCAGTCCTCTCCAGTCTCGTAACGCTTTGAAAGCATCTTGCCGGTGCTGAGGCCCTGGAGTCGCAATTCATTGGCATTGCTCAGACTTTCATGCATCGTTTGACAATTGTGGGCGACAGGTGCAGCTTCAAACCGTCAATATTGTATTTTTGTATATATATGCATTTTTTGGCATTTTCGCAACAAAAATGCATTCTTCTCTTCCAAAGTCCGCGATGACTATGATTCTATGATTGTTGTTGCGAGCGAAGGTGCGTCGATGCATGTGGACAGAAATGGAAGCTAACCCAAGAAGGCAACAACTTTTTCTTCATCAAGGGCCGAATGTGGATCAACGGCGGAGTTCTGTTTCGTGAAGGCAAATCAGGAATTGCGGAGGGCTCAGTCATGGGGCACAAAGCATTCAGGGTTCTGGTCCTGTTTGAAATTCACTTGGCCCCCGCAGGTGATGCGTTTTCGAAGAGAGGAGGTCCAAGAACTTCAAATTGTTGTGTTTAGAGAGAATGGAACCAAGTAATGCAGGAGATGCAAGATGACTTCGAGTTTGATCTCGAGGAGCAGGAGCAGGCCTGGAACGTTTACTGAAAGCTGTCAATTTCAACATCGTAGACAGACTGAAGGAGCTGGAATCCTCCAGCGAAGAGGAGGAGGAGGGGGAGGAGGAGGAGGAGCAGGCAAAGCTGCGGATACAATAAGAGCATGGCAGCAAATTTCCGATCACAACATACCTGTCATGCGTGCAATTCAACTAAGACAAGCATTTTGGTTGAGGGTCTGCAGTGCATTTGCATGGCCAGGACAGCTTGCAAGTGCTAGAGAATATGGTTTCAGAAGTTTACTGGGACCACTGCCAGATGCTTAATGGTAATGAGCTGCAAAATGTATCGCAGATGACATCAAAGCTCTCCTCACAGTCCTTCATCACTGAAGGGAGCAGTTTCCCATGCTTGGGTTGTCACAAGAGAACGCATGACAGCAGATGGCAGAGAGGGCTTAACGCAAAGAATGCCTAGCCGCATCACGCAAGCCTGCACAGCTCAGGAAATCGCAGCCTTTGCAATGCTGAGTTTAAGGATCGTGGAGCAAACTTTTAAGAAGAGAGGCCTCAGTTCCTTCCCTAACGAAGGCATGATAGGTGAAGTCTCGGCTTGTCCGTCCACGTTTCACATTCTATACCCAAAGTGGTAGCTTCTGGATGAGCTTCTCAGAATGCGATCTTCTAAAGATATGAACAACTAGCAATCTGGGCCAACTGGGCCAATCACAAAACATTGTTGGTTCAGTTTGCAAAGAGAGCGTTTTCAGCAAGGCCCGCTCTTTGTTGCGCGATGCCAGCAGACTCTACAAGGTGACAGAATGAATGCCGACTCTGAGACTCTGAGTTTATACAATTTCATGCAATGAAATGATTCCGGTATTCGGTATGGCGCACTCCGGCAGTGGGAGTGGGATTACATGGACTATCATTCTTTGCCCCAAACAGCTCTTTTATCTCTCTCATGCTTGTGTCACTTCTTTCCCTGCGAGGCTGAAATGGAGAGCGAGAAGCTGCACCTTTTGGATCATGAGGTCATGTCACAGCTGCACTCTGACAAACGTTTAAAGCACTGAATGAAATTCTACAATCATACTGCCGCTTGGGCACTTTGGACATCTTTGGAGCTTGTACAATCGTTTTACAATCTACTGAACGCAGGATGAGTGGTCTTTGGCCTTGCAATGCGGCCATCTTTTGGCACTTCAGCTTGAGGACGCTCTCAGCCTTGCCAATGAAACACATCGAACTCTGTCAGTCATGTTGGTCATGCTGTGATATTCTTGTGGCAGGCTGAAGCAAGCCGTATGCTGGAATGTCCGCCAGATGAGGTGCGGACGTGACTTCAAAGTGGATGTCGTAATCTTGTTAAATCTTGTTGGCCATTTCTGAAAATGGATGTGAGGTTAAGATAATTTTGTCAACGGGCATCCAGCTCAGCAATGCAATTCAGGCCTGGTCCCCGCATCCTTGCAATGTGGCTACTAAAGATAAAAGCCCTTGCATTGACATGTACGGAATGTATCCAAGAGTGGCTTCATTCTAACTCCAGATTTGCAAGGCTTCTTCCGCTGCTACAGCTCGCCTGCAGCGACTAGTGTTTGAGCTACGATGCAGGTAGGGTACTCAGGAAAAGGCAACCGGTAAACACATATCACTACTTTAGAGGAAGGCCTTTACTAACCATCATCATCAAGGAACAACATTGAACAACAGATGCTTTCTATAGCAAACATGGTCTACAGGAAGGCCTTCTATTTGCTACTGGTAATGGGATATACCCCAGAGCGTGTGTATCAAGCATGTGTATACCATCCAAAGAGAACGCGTAGTACAGTATCAGTGTCAACACAGCACTTTGCCCATGCCACAACCGCAAGAACCAGCTGGGCATGACCACAGCCACCGATAGCACGAAGAAAAAGTAGTTGCTTCGCATAGTAAGGATTCATGATTTAGAAATAAACTATTACAATTTTCGCGAGTGTCCCTGATAACAGAAGCAAACTTAGTTTTGATAGAAGGCAACCAAAGAAATACCGCACGCACCAAAGGCGGAGAGAGCTACTGTAGTACAGCCTGCCGGGAAGACTTAGTGTTCTAATGTGAAGTGCAGTGATTGCATGGGCTCCCACATGCGAATGCCACTCTCTACCTGTCACTGTCATGCCCTGCTCTTTTTCCCTAGAAAGCGAGGGCTAATGGGGTTCTTACTGTACTTCAAGTATAGGAAGAGGTGCCTGTGTGCCCACTGTGCGCTTTGGGGCTGGGTGCTGGTGCCGCCGCAGAGTGCCGCTGCCGGATGTTTATGGCCGTGTGTGCTTTGGAACTTGGGTGCTGGTGCCGGTGCAGACTATTGTATGCTGCCGCCAGATTTGCATGGTCGTGTGCGCTTTGGAGCGTGGGTGCGGTGCCACTGCAGGATGCCGCTGCACTTGAGAGCTTGGGTGCTGGTGCCGCTACAGGGTGCCGGTGCAGAGCCTGCCCCCAGTTGCCTGCCGTGTGCCCTTTAAAGCTTGGGTGCTGGTGCTGGTGGGGGGTGTCGCTGCAGGATTGCGGTGACAGATCCCGTCTACGTCGAATGAACAAACAAACAGCTTGGGTGCTGCCCACAAGTATCTTGTGCTACTTGGGCGCTGTGTGGTGGCGCAATTTGATTAGATGAGACTTATATTTTCATATATTTTCTAATTTTTTTGTCACATCGGTATCAGCAAGTTTGGGTGGCACCACGCTTGCTTTATGTTTTTCGGTTTTGGGCTCTTACTTTCCTAGGCCGAGGAAGCCCCCCTACAAAATATCTTTAAAACGTTACTTCAAAGAAGTTTTCTAAACTTAAATTTTTTATAGCAGTATAAAAACTCAAAAGTTATTCACAAATTACTCCAGCATAGACCTCAGATAGCAAAAGCATGCAAAAGATTTTTCTGGGCTGCACCCTGCATTGGCAGCAGCTCCAATTTTTACACGCAATACAGCGTGGCGTGTCTCCACTACGCGCACAGCCAGCACCAGCGCCCAGCACCGACACGCCAGCTCACAGCACCACACGCGCACAGCCAGCACCCACCCCCGCTTCCTGTTTGCACCACGCGCACAGCCAGCTCACAGTCCACCACGCACACCCAGCACCCAGCACTGGCAGCCTGTCTCCACCACGCGCACAGCCGGGAATAACAACGCATGATCTTGCGCGAAAAAGTATGCGCGCAAACACCAAAGCCCGTAAGTGTCATTGGCCTAAGGCCAAGCAGTATCCAGAGCCACTGTTGATTTTGTAGCATGCTTGAAGCAACGATCTGTGGAACGATAAGGCCAGTATGATCTTGCGCGTACAAGTTTACGCGCGCAAAAGAAGGCGCACAAACGGCAAAGCCCGTAGGCCTCACTCGCCCAAGGCCAAGCAATATCCAGCACGACTATTGTGTGTGTGTGTGTAGCATGCTGAAACATGCTGAAACAATGGTCGGTTGAGAGCCTGACGTTGCGCATACAACATTATACGTACAAAAGTATGCGCGCAAACAGTGCAGCCCTTGACACAGCTGTCGGCCAAAACAGAACCTGAAGAGGGTAAATACCCCACAGCGCTAATAGACAAAGAACGCTCAAGCGACAACACCGTATGATGTTGCGTGCGTACAGCCAGCTCGCAGCGCCAGCGCCGGCGCCCAGCGCCCACCCAGCACCGGCACCATGTCTCCACCACGTGCGCAGCCAGCTCACAGCACGCACCCGGCACACAGCGCCGCCACCCTGTCTCCACCACGTGCGCAGCAAGCTCGCAGCACCGGCGCCCAGCGCCCTGTCTCCACCATGCGCACAGCCAGCCAGCCAGCGCCCAGCACCGGCGCCGGCGCGCGCACGGCCAGCTCACAACACCAGCACCGGCGCCCGGCGCCCAGCACCGACACCCTGTCTCCACCACGTGCGCGCGCCGCCCTGTCTCCATGCACGACGCGTACACCCAGCACCAGCGCCGGCGCCCTGTTTCCACCACGTGCGCAGCCAGCTCACAGCGCCAGCGCCGGCGCCTAGCACCAGCACCGGCGCCCGGCACCAGCGCCAATGTAGGACACTCTTGTCGGTCACTCTTGTAGGAGACTCTTGTGGGGCATTCTTGTGGGGCACTCTTGCAGGACGCTCTTGTCGGACACTCTTGTGAGGCCCTTGTGGGGCACTCTTGTAGGACTCTTGTAGGACAGTCTTAGGGAACACTCTTGCGGGACACTCTTGTCCAACGCTCTTGTGGAACACTCTTGTGGGACACTCTTGTCGGACAATCTTGTGAGACACTCTTGTAGGAGACTCTCGGGGAACACCCTTCAGGGCACTTTTCTGGGACGATCTTGTTGGACACTCTTGTCGGAGGGATGCTCTTGTAGGACGCTCTTGTCGGACACTCTTAATGGAACACTCTTGCGGGATCTTGCGGGTCATCTCTTGTCCAACGCTCTTGCGGAACACTATCGTGGGACACTCTTGTAGGACACTCCTTTCGGACACTCTTGTGAGTGGCTCTTGTGGGACAGCCTTTGTAGGACGCTCTTGTCGGACAGCGAGCGTTTCGCACGAGACTTCCTCCACAATTCACGCGTCAAGTCTCCAATACGAGCGTTCGCACGTTTCCTCCAAAAGTCTCCCGTCAAGTCTCCAAAGCGAGCATTTCGCGCGAGACTTGTTCCAAATTCACTCGTCAAGTCTTCAAAACGAGCGTTTCGTACGTCTCAAAAACTTATAGCTCGATTCGAGTCTGCAAAATGAGCGTTTCGTACGAGACCTCCTCCACAATTCACACATCCATCCTCCAAAACGAGCGTTTCGTACGAGACTTCCTCCAAAAGTCGCGTGGGAAACCCCATCGGAGCACACACATCAAGCAGCCCTGCCAAGCAGTTTCACGATTCCAGCCCCTCGAAACTTCCCTGCGCCTGCCACGAAAATTTACACATCCCCGCCCACGCGCGCACAAAGTACTGCGCCTGCCACGAAATGTGGCCTCCGCCACACCTCGCAACCTCACGATTCCCTGCGCTTGCTACGAAATTGGACTTCCACACCTCAACTCAGATTTGCCCCGAAAACACAGCGTAGTGAAATCATCCTCCACACTTCAAGATCCTGCATTTCCACGCGATTCCTCGCTATTTCACACGAATCTGACCGGTCACGCTTCCATGCAAAACGCTCTCCAAAAATCTTCGGAACGGTTGACAACGGTTGCCGAACGCTGAGACAGCGGGTCGCGAACAAGGCTCTACCCCAGACCCCCAGAGTTAAACAAGAACCTTTCGCTATGCATTCGGGAGAAACCATCCAGACACCATTCTGAGTTTGTTGGCGGCTGGCATGGCAGGTGCTTGACTGCCTACAAGGCTGAGCTCTGCAGTGTTTCCCATGGTGCTGGGTTTTCTGCAGCGTGGTTTGCCGAGGACCTGTCAAATAGCCACAGCCCAGAGCCCATGCAGGCTGGTTGCATCCAGTCCTCGTCATGATGTGCTCAGGCGGACCTTTAATTAATGGGATTGAAGGTGAAGTTGGACGATACACAGGCTGTACAGTCACTGTTCTTCCACAGATCTCGGTCACTGTTCTTTTGTCTCACGTCAGGTGGTCGCAGAGGATCGAAGAGACAGCAGTCAATCGTAGCACAGCTAACAGCTGGCGTGACGAGCCACGACGAGAAGTTGTGTGGAACTGGTAGACAACAAATAGATCTGTGGCCGAGGGCCCACTGAACATGGCACGATTCAAAACGAAATGTGCCTTCTTTTGCGTACTCAGTAGTATTTATGCTATCAAGGTCGCCTGTCGACTGGCGCCTGTTGTCAGGCAAAATCAGTGTAGCTTTTGCTGTGGTAAGCTGCTGGCCTGCAGGTCAATCGTATCCAGCCATGCGCGCAGAAGACAATTGCACATGCGTAGAGTATGATTCTTGCAGTGAAAAGGTAAAGAGTCCAGGCCATCACCCTGTCATGGTCTCCCTAGTGGGGGTTAGAGCCTAGATACTGGTAACGCCCAATTTGCGGAATTGTAATCGACTCTGCGGCAGCTCAGTGGTGTGCTTGATTCAGCCTTGCTCCTTTCGGGAACTGGCAGGAACAACTCAAAGACCCCTTGACATGAGGTCAACTGACTACAACGCGGGCATTTTGAGATATGCTGAGTAGAAGTTTTTGTCTACCATAGCCATAGCCATAGCTGGCACAGAAGGCCAACATCGCATAAGTTGATTCAAAGGGTGACAATAAGAAGGGTGCAGCACAGCGAACTTTGGGAAGGCAGCTTCGGCCGCAACGCTAGTAAGCCCAGGAACACCAGGAACCAGGAAATGATGATTTAAGCAGTGCTGAAGATTCAAGTTCTTTGTTGCATGATGTTGCATGCAAGTAGGGGCAAAAGATCTGATTCGGCACGGATCCTTTGCTGGAGATTCCAACTAGTTCCAAGCTGCAGTTAGCTTTGCTCGACCGATAGGACCGTGGGCGAGACTCCCGGGAGAGGGATTGTGGCGCTTTTGCACTCCTATACATTTTCCAGGGTTGGTTGCTTCAATTATTTGGCCAAACACCTGCAGGGTAATTCACACATGGAGGTTGTCCGAGGCAGATCTTGTGTTGCATACCACAAGCTCCCTTGACATGGCCTTGCAATGGGCTACCTGTTTTTCACCCTTGGAACATGTTGTTCACCGTCAAAACCTTTTTTGTCACCCTCAAGAACCATTTTATTTGCAAGCCTGTTCTTTCTTTCAACCCTTTGCCTTACCATGTTTTTTTGACCTTCCGGAGCAGGTCCCCTCAGAACCTGCACAGAGAGCTTTTGGAAGACGTGACCCAGAGCCTCCGGAAACGAACCTGGAAGCCTCCAGCTTGCTTGATATTCGGGTGTGTGTGGCAGCTGTTCTTCTCTCCGTTGATTAAAGTTCTTGGCTTTTTCGAAAGGGGTCTCTCCAGTCTGGCGTTGTATAAATTGGCAACCTTTCCTTCCACGTTCAAAACCTGTTTTTTCTCACCCTGCCCCTTTTCTTCAACCCTCCACCCTTTTGTTCAGCCTCGTTACCTTAGCTTATCACCCTCTACCCTTCCTATTTTCCCTCTACCCCTTCTTTTTCACCCTTGTGCTGAAACGGCCCCCATTCGCGAGAATCAACAGCTGCTGGAATTTGCGCATAGAAAAGCTGGAGGAGGGTTGGGGGGCAGGGCGCAGTGCCTCCCACCAGAGCACACCAACCGTTTGTCACCTGAAAGGCTTCGAAGGTGGAGCAAAGGGAGGGCACAAAAGGCCAATCAGTTTCCCTGAAGGCTCCCATGTCAGCTCCCGGAAGGTTCCTGCGCAGCTCTTTCCTCTTACTGCTGCCCTTGTGTCTCTCTTTGATGTTGGTGAAACAGTCGCCTTGGCATGATACCTGGAACAAACATCGGAGTTTTTGGAGATGGGCAGTTCAATGTCGTTCTTGCAGGTGACTATGGACCGATTGCAAATTTTGAAACACACCCAAACGGAACTTTGATACATGAAGATCTTCGCATCTAAATGAGTTGTTTGTTTGCAGCAAACTCCTATAATTATATAGACCGTCCGCAGAATTTTGGCAATTTGCTGCAACTCATGCAACGTTATCAAGTTTGAAGCAGACCATGGCCGTCGATTCATTTGTGATTTGTACACTCGAGATATTTTACGTCCAAACGTGTTCTTTGTGATGCCCGAAACTCCTACACAGACAGGTGGTACAGCGCTTCCTCTCAGTTGTTTTCACCCTATAAATAACGTATACATGTATATGTGTATACTATATGTTCACTATCACTATCATGAGCTGGTGTTCTCAAGAACTTTGGCTCGAACCTCGGGCGGTTCATGTCTTGGCCGGCTGCACTGGATCTCGTTCGCGAGCTTCGTTTCTGGTGGCCGGCGCCGGTTTGCTCAGGCATTGGTTTGCCTTGGATCATCCTGCTGGTCCTCGCCTGTTGCTGCTGTGGGTGCTGCATTGGTGCATTGATTACACTGGCTTGCACCTCCACTGTTTTCAGGCGCTTCCTGAGGTTTCTGTGCTTTAATCTCGCTGCCTGCGCTGCTCCTACAGCACCTGTGGTGGGCGTGCAGTCACTAAGGAGGCGGTTGAGCGAATATCGTGACGGTGCATGAGCGAGCAACCCAACACGGACGAGCTCGCCCTTGAGTTCAGCGGCCTCACCATCAGGATCAGCAAGACTCCTGACCGTCGAGTGGCTAGGACCGAGAACGACAGTGAAGCTTCTTTTACTGTCATTAGTGAAGTCCCCCATCTGGGTGCTCTTGCCGGCCCGTCCTCGGGCCCGTGCTCAGCTGGCTCAGCTGGGTACTCGTCACCTCGTTCCGGGGTGGTTGAAGCGACCCCGCCGGCACAGGCTTGGTCGCTGGAGTGGGAGAGAGATCTTCTGGCTGCAGCTACTCCGGCCGATTTTGAGCAGTTGGATCTAGCACCAGTGACTCACTTGGTGCGCAATTTGAGGGGCTGGACTCCATTGGCCAGGCTTGGCCGTGCGCTGCGGGCGGGAGTGCTTGCAAAGCGCAAACTGCACCATCAGCCTGGTGCGTATCAGTTGGGGCCGGACGTGCCGCTGGACAACAGGATCTACGTGGTGCTCCAGGCGCCTGAAGGGCGCTCGATCGGGTGGACCGATCACTATCAGACCTTCCGCGCGTCAGTGGAGGGCAAGTTCTCCCGTTTTCACGCTGACGCAGTGTGCCATTCCTTTGCTTCCCGGACGGAGGCTGAGGCCTACTGCATTGGGGCTGGCCGACCATGGCCAGACCTGCTGCCCCGCCTACGCTGAGCGAAGAGGGCGTCCGTGCCCTCTTCGCAGGAGCTGGAGACGGTGGACCTTTGCCGGCACTTTTTCTTCTGCTGCCACCCAGGGACAATGGCATCAATCTCCGAGCTCAGTGCACCTTGGTCAAACTTCGTTCCGGAGGTTTCATGGTGTGCTTGCCAGACTTCCCAGAGGTGTCGGATTTCCTACAGCAGCAAGAACATCCTACCGAGGAGGCCGAAGCTGCAGTGGCTCTGTTTGGGGTCGATGTCGAGGCCGAGACGGCTCGTGGTCGTGCTCTGGGTCGCCAAGTGCCATGCCTGCTCGCCGATGTGTTGTGGCCTCTCTCTCATTTGTTCGTGCGTGCCAATGCGCTCCGATCGAGTTCCATCGAGCTCTTGAAGTTCATGGTGGACGATGTGGTCTGCAGGCCTCGCAGAGACGATCTGCTTGCTGCCGTGGAGAGCTGGATTCACGACAATATGGACGAAGACACAGCGGCAGATTATGTAACTGGCGAAGAGGAGCCGGAGATGATCCCAGAAGAGGTCGATGGAGCTACGGCCGAAGAGGACGTACTGGTGCTGCAGCGCAGGGTGGCGGAGTTGGAGGCACGTCTAGCCCTCTCTCCAGCGGCCACAGTGAGAGGCCGTGGACATTATCCAGCCACACCTCCGAGGCCTCAGATCCCTCGCGGAGTTCTCTTTGGTCCCAATGCACCTACTCCCACGACGGCAGCTCAATCCCTCGAGCACCTGAAGCAGCTGGCAGGTTCTGCACCGATGCGCTTGGGCGCTCACGAGAAGGCCGTGAGAGAAGGGCGCAGCGCACAATTCTTGGAGACAGCTCAGCAGGAGGCCTCCCTGGAGGCTACGGGCGCCACAGAATTGGACGAAGCCATGCCGGAGTTGGAAGAAGCTCTGACAGACCCCCTTCAGAAGCTCATGTATCTACAGATGCGCCAGCTCTCCATTCTCACGAAGCAGCAACAAGAAAAGAGGACAGACCCCTTACATGCCGCCTTGGGCGGCGGAGAGGCAAGTGGGGGCAGCTCAGGTGTGAAGGGTTGCTTGGCGCGGGACGCCTTTGTGCGCATGGCGAGCGAAGTAGGCAAGCTCGCCCCGGTCGTGCAGGCCAACGCTGCTCAGGAGTTGGGCCTGGATCCTCACCAAGTTGGATCTGGGTTGATGCGAGAGTACCTCGAGAAGAGATGTCCTCTGGGCGAGCAGAGACTCCTGACCCAAATGGGGTACATTCTGGCAGCTGCCTGGGAGCATGGCTTCAAGACTCAGAACCAAGACCTGATGGGGCACGCAGCTCGTGCCATGGTCTTCATCGACCAAACGGCCATGGATGCAGGCCGGACCAATCTGAGCTGGCTGCTCACCGGCCTCCCAGAACCTCAGTACAGCATTGTGCAAAGAAACAAGATTCGTACTGCGCTAGCCCCGTTTTCCAGGCTAGCGCCTGCGGCTTAGGTGTCGGCCAACGTGGCTTACATGAAGGATCTAGATTTTTTGCAAACAAAGATTCGCGCCGCCAACCTTGGCAAGAATCTGGCTACTGCGAACACCACCGAGGACACGGGAGAGGCCGCGGAGCAAGATGCCTCCAAGAAGAATCCCTGGAAGAAGAAGAAGTGGGCAAAAGAAGACCCGGCAGGCGGGTCGTCAACGGGCACGTAGAGCGTGCGGCACCTCTGGCGGTGATAGGACCAGAGTCACCTGTTTCCTTGCCGGGCTCTTCATCCTCAGAGCGGGGGGAGTGGATCCCCACCGCTTCCATCGGTCGGGAAACGGATGACTCAAAGGTCCAAAAGATCACCCAAGCAGCCAGTTTCAAGTGCCCTAAGCCCAGTGGAAAGTCGAGTCATAGGGGTGCGGCTTCCTCCTCTCGCACTGTGATACCAGATTTAGATGTGCAGTTGGAAGGGGAGGCGGTGCCTACTTCAATTAGATGCATCGAGTTAGTGAGAGCAGTTCTTCAGACTTCAAAGTTGCCTGGTAGCTTTCAGCATTTTGCCCGGCGCAGCTTGGAGCATGCCCGCAACGTTGATGGGTCGTGCAAGCCACGATCCGACTTATGGCCTTGTCCCCCCCCCTTGTGGAGGAAGTGTTGGACAGGACTGAGGTCACTCTCACCACGCAGAAGGAGGAGGTATAGATGGCTGGAGACTAAAGCTCTCTGTCTCCAGAGCGTCATTGTGGCATTGAACTGGTTGAGTCTGGGTCATGCACGTTCACCTCCTGAGTATGCAAAGCCGGGCTATCCTATGAGCCTGCAACAGCAGGAGATGGTGGAGCGGCTGGAGGATTTGGTCGACCACTACATGTCGGCTGAGGAAGCCAGCATAGCTGAGCTTGGTAGAGCAGGTGAGAAGCTGACCAAATTAAGTAAAATTGCTTTTTCTTTGCATGATCATTCCCCCGACTCTGTGTCCGTGAATGATGTTTGTAGTTTTTTGAAGACCATTCAGACTTCGTTTGATTCATATTGTACTCCAAAGCATGGCACATGTAACACTGATAGCTATGCGCCTGCCTCAGCCGAAGACTTGAACCCTGACGGGGCAATCCCAGTGAACCCTGAGATCCGGATCCAGTCTGACACTTGCACGGCTATGCCTGTTGTGGCTGAACGTATAAAATGGAAGTTGGAGCCATCCTTTGATCCGACACTTTTTTTGACAGATCCAGTCGTGCAGAAGGCTTTTTTGGACCCGGATGTTCTCCGCAGACCTGTTGCGGACTGGCCACGGCTGCCACGAGCAAAGGTCCATGCAGACCGACAGGAGGTCTTTCGACTTGCGGAAAAGTGGGACAAGCTGGGCGCCTGCCAGTTGGTGTTGGCGGAGAAGGTTGACCCTCAAGAAGCGGCGGGCATCTTTGCTGTCCCTAAGGACAATGAGTTCGATCGGCTGATCATGAACCCTACAGTTATCAACAGCAGGTGCTATCCCTATGCATCCTTTACCAAAACCATTGCCCCCGGCTACTTGATGTGCTTGATCCGGATTGCAGACCACGAAAACTTGGTTGTTTCATCAGATGATCTTTGCGAGTTTTACTACACTTTCAAGGTCTCCCCTAACCGAGCTCAACGTAACGCAATCCGCATGCGCTTCAAGGGTGCCGAGTTTCAAGGGCTTCATTGTTACAATCCCAACTGGCATGCTCAAGACGTTTACATTTGTTTAGGTACAATGGCCATGGGAGACGCACTGGCTGTCGAGATTGCGCAACAATCACATGTCAACGTTTTGAGACAGTTGGGGGGTTGCATGAGGTCAGATGAGGTGTTGCAGTACAGGAGGCCCGTTCCTAGAGGACCCTTTTTTGAACTTCTTACAATTGATGATCATATTGGGCTTCAAAAGGTGAGGATCGACGGTGCAAGCTTCCCTCGCAGCAATCGTGACATTGAAGTGTTTACATCCTCAAATGAAGCGTACAAGGCAGTAAAACTAACAGCTCACCCGGGAAAGATGCGCCGCAGGGCGCTCCATGCGACGGTGCTGGGGTCGGAGGTTGATGGCCAGCGTGGTCGCGTTTCGGCTCCCCGTGAGCGGATAGCACTCCTGAGCTTCATCACGAGCATTGTCATTAGCAAAAGGTTGGCCACCAGGAAACTCCTCCAGGGTCTTTTGGGGTGCTGGACACATGTGCTTTTGTTCCGAAGACCGGTGTTCTGTGTCTTGGAAAGTGTCTATCACGAAGGTGAATCACTACATGCAGACACGGTGTTTCAGATGTCAGAGCGCTGTTGCAATGAACTCCTCATCTTGTGCCTATTAGCACCCACAATTCAGACAGACCTGAGAGTGTCAGTTGCACCGGATCTCTTCATGTTGGACGCGTCGCCATATGGTGGTGGCATTTGTCGTGCTCGCTTCAGTAGCTGCGGTGCTGAAGAATTGTGGAGGCACACCGAGCAGAGAGGCTATTATACCAAGCTTCAGTCCGGTGTTAATGCTGCTTTGCACGAGCTGGGCTTAGAGCATCAGGAGGTGTTTGGTGTACATGACGATGATTTTGTGGCTACCTCACAAATTTTCCCCCCTTGTCTCGATGGTTCCCCTACACCCGGCTTGAAAGATCGCACGGTGATTTTCGACTGCGTCGAGCTGTTTTCCGGTCAGGGCAACTGGTCGAGACAGCACGAGCTGGCGGGGCTTAGGGTGCATCCTGGCATCGAGCGTGATGCAGCCGGAAAGGCTTATGGGGACCTGGACGACAAACGGACGTTTTTGGAACTGGCGCGTTTAGCGTACGCAGGTTCAATTCGAGAGTGGCATGCTGGTCCGCCTTGTTGGTCGTTCGGGACGCTCCGGCGTCCCCGGCTGAGATCCAAGATCAGCCCAGCAGGTTTTGTGATTGATGATCCGGTCACCCGGGGACAAACTTTACTTGCAATCCGTACCGCTTTCTTATTAACATTAGCTTGCATGGCTGGTTGTTTCGTGTCGTGTGAACAACCTGGTAACAGTGTGATGTTTCTTTTGCAGGCCTTTCAGAGACTGTTGAAGTGTGGTTGCCGGGTTACAAAGTTTTGCTTTTGTTCGTTCGGCAGTGCATTCATGAAGCCCAGCAAATGGTTGCACAATAAGCCGTGGCTAGACAAACTTGCTGGACAGTGCAGTTGTGCGCATCGGAACAACCATTTTACAGTACAGGGTACTTTTACTCGGGATTCTATTCATCTGTTCAACAGCCGGTGCATGCCTGATTCACAGACGGTGTATGGCAAAATACCTAAGCCAGGGGAGGCAGTAAGTAGATTCTCAGCTGCATACCCAGTGCCCCTGTGTCAGGTGATGGCTGCAGGAAGTTCTGCAGCTCATGCTGCAGGTGCGATCCCGTCCGGACGGGACTGTTGCCTTGACCATAGCCATCGGCCCGTTGAGACCGCAGATCAAGGGATGCTGCGGAGTTGGTTTGAAGATCCCGAGTGGGTGGAGGACATCTGTGAAAGTTTGGAATTCCGCGAACTTTACAGATTTCGATTCAAACGGAGCGGTCACATCAATTGCCTTGAATGCAGAGTATACAAGAGTTTTTTGAAGTTCTGCAGCAAAGCTCATCCTAGAAGCCGTGTGGTAAGTTTTCTAGATAGTCGTGTGACTACGGGAGCAGCCGCAAAGGGCAGGAGCTCTTCCAAAGCCCTCAGCAGAATACTTCGCACTACTCTTGCTTATGTGCTTGGTGGCTGTCTGTATTCAGGTACATTGCATTGTCGGTCGGCATGGAACCGTGCTGACGGCCCATCACGTGATCGGGACGTCCCAGGTCCTTCAAGGGATGTCCCCAAGTGGCTGGAAGACCTTGAGTCTGGAAGTTTCCGGGCTTTTGATGAGATGGTCAGCCTGGCCCAGTGGTCACGCCCTGTTGGTCGGTGGATCCGCTTGCTCCTCTTGGTGGCTGGCGATGTTGAAAGGCGCCCCGGCCCTAGTACTCACCACTACACGCCGAGAGGCGAGTTGAACTTGATGGGCGGGTTTGCAACAGCGACCTCAACACGCATGGTGCGTTGTTTGGAGTTGTTCAGAGTGTGGTGTGTTGAGAAAGCTGGCGTGCCGTTCGAAGTTGTTTGCAGTTCAGCAGAGCATGCGAATCACGCCTTGAGGGCCTACGGACTGGAGCTTTTCAGGGAAGGCAGACCTAGATATCAACTGGTGTACGCCATCACGGCGATGCAGCATTCTTTCCCCGAGTTTCGTCGTTCTTTGACTGGAGCATGGCAAGTCGACCTGAAATGGCAGTTTGCTGAACCGGGCCAGTGCAGAGCGGTGCTCTCTGCCCCAATTCTGCGGGCCGTCTTGACAGTCGCGTTGCTCTGGAATTGGTACGCGTTTGCCGGAATCGTGGCTCTCGGTTTCGGAGGAATGTTGCATCCGGCTGAGTTCCTGGCTTTGACCAGAAAAGACTTAGTCTTCCCTGAGGACGCTTTGTTCCAGCAGAAGTCCATGTACGTGTTCGTGAAGAACCCCAAAACAGCTCGTTTCGCAAGGCGACAACACGCTCGGATTGATGACGAGAGTTTGATCTTCCTGGCGCGTTGTATCTTCGGTCCTTTACCACTTGACATGCGATTGTTTGGAGCCTCACCAGCTGTATTCAGACGACAGTGGAACTGTCTCTTCGATCATCTTGGAATCCCCCGTCGCCAAGCCGCTCGTGGAGCGACACCGGGGGTGCTGAGGGGGAGCGGTGCCACTCACGAGTACTTGCAGACTTCAGACATTGCGCAGATTCAGTGGAAAGGACGTTGGAGTCGCCTTCGGACGCTGGAATATTACATCCAGGAGGTTGCTGCTCAGCTGTTCATGTTTGAGCTCCCGGTGGAAACTCGTCATCGCATTACGATGCTTGAATCACAGTTGAGCGTTGTTCTTGAGCACTTGTTTTCATTTGAGCTAAAATTGTTTGCGCAGCAGTATTCTGGAAATGGAAAGCAATAGGAGAGTTCCTTCGTCGAAGTTAGCTTGCATTGGCTTGAGCATTGGTC